TTGAACACAGTAACAAAATTCAATTTATCTTTCTGATAAATTTATTTTCAAATATGAATATAGTTTATGAACTATTACACATTTTTGTTTAGGGACCAGCTGAAGCCCACCTCCAGTTACGGGATTTTCTCGCTGTGTGGAGGACCCATTGGTCGCCTTGGGCTGTTTTCTGCTCTTTGGTCGGGTTGTTGTCTGTTGACACATTCCCCTTTTTTATTCTCAATTTTATTAAAGTTTATGTTAGGTCTTATTTTCACTAGTACCGCACTATATAGTCAAGCAGAACTTTCCCGAGCATCAAGTGAATAGGTGCCTATTGAAATTTCACAGGAGAGCTTCAAATCAGTCGACACATGGCCATTGAGTTAAGTACACGCTTGAAATTTGATAATAGCATTTAGGTATTATAATTGTCAATACAGGACATAGATAACCCAAGGCGTATTATTACAACAATCAGAAAAGACATTTATACCGAAAAGTATATAAATAGTATAGTGTGGTCTTGTTTTGTGTCGAGATGATATTTCTTACTCACTGTCTAGAATGTCCAAATAATTGCTATATTATACAAATGTATAGATAAAGTAAGTAATTTTTGGGTTCAATATTTATTTTGGAGGGATGTTTATGCCCTGTTCTGTTGTGCGTATGGTCGATGATAAATGATGTCAGAGATATAATGGCGTCGGTGATACTCGAATTATGAAATGTAAAGTCCTCAACAGAAATTGTGAAAAAATATTTATATGTGTTCATTTTATGTTGAAAAGATACTATTTCATTTAATTTTATAAAATTGAAATAAAACAGTCTTTAAATTGAATTTACAGATGGGTACAGTCGTAATCTGGACAGCAGGTTAACTTGATAACCAGTCGATTTGACTAGTCAACGTTAACCTGCGACAGGTTCAAGGACTTCTTCGAATTGTCATAGGACCAAAATCAAGCAACATTTAAAAGCAGACGTGTTTATAGGACTGTTTTTATTACTGAAGAAAAAGTTAACTTCAGACAGGTCCGTTACTGAAGTTAACATTCAACCCAGTCCTGCAATAAGTTTATTTCGATATTGACAACTCCAATTGAACCATAACTGATCTAAAGTATGAGATTTAAAATTATGTTTGGCTTGTATGCTCAACACTAATTTAACTTGTGATCAGAACCGCTTTACATCGATTGATAGAATATTTTGAAATGTCTTTGTTTCTTGATTTAAACAATACAAATAAAAAAAAATCATTTAAAAAGTGTTTGAAAGAAACATTTCTCTTTGATTTGCCTTTCAACACATCGAAAACGAATTTGGTTATTCAGTTAAAAACAAACGGCTAACGTACATATTTCAATAAAGATTAAATTCTTAAAGACATTTATATTTTGAAATTTAAAGTTCTGATTCGTTTTAAGATGTTGAGTTATGATCCGTTTTAAAATGTAGCAGTACATGTACATTTGTAAGAATAGAAACTTTTAGATCGCTTTGATCGACACGGGCAAAAACGAATGGTACGTAGATTGTATAAAATAAACATGGTAAGTGAATATTGGTGTATAGTTACTAAAATTGATGATACCCCGATGTATATACCTATATGGAGTTATATTCTTTCAGAACGATATGTAATTCTTTCGAAGAATCAACCCGGACGATACCAGGTTTCAATTAAATATGATTCAAGGCATAAAATATGCTTCAAGGCATACACTAATGACCTGTGTAATGTCATTATTTTCCCTGATTGCAAACTATAATTTACTTAAACATTTTATTCGTATGATAGTTATCGTGCGTTGTTGCCAATTGGAGTTTATCTTTTTAATGTTCCATCTTTAATAAACTTAAGGCAAAAACAATTATTTCCTCCCTTTATTAGACTGAAAAACCAAAAATCGTCGTTGACGTACATTTTAACTTTCGATAAAAATACTGTAAAGTTTTTTTAATGTATCTCTACATAAATGGACATTTTGTGAGATGAATTTGATAATGCACATCTTTTCATAGCACTTTTAAAACAATCCAGATTTAACACATTCGTGTATAAGATTTTGAAAATCTTATTGATCCACACTGTATTGAAAATCTTACTTTTTTGCGATAAAAATGTCATGAAAAAAAGAAGGGAAAAAAAAACCCAAAAAAAACCCCCAAAACATAGCATTCCCCCTTTAATAATCTAAGATGATACAACAAATTACTTACAAAGTGACTTGTATTTTTCAAACAACGTCATTCATGTGTGTCTTGCTTCATGCAGTTACAGTAATATTTTAAATGTGCCTGGATAATGATCTCTAAAGTTTATATATATATTAATTTGTGAGTGTTATTTTACATTACAGATGAGCCGTAGGGCGTATTAAAACTTGAACGCATCAGAAAAGAATATCCCACTTTAATGTGGTCGGTAAAATAGGATGCTAATCCTGCAAATCTTTAGTATATAGGTCAGATAATGCATATTGTAAGGGTTGTATTGTCGTATAACACACCTCGGGGTGTCAGGCTTGCCCAAAGAAAGATCTCCATAAGGTCGGTCTTTCATTTGATGAATTCTGACACCCCTCGGTTCGTTATACGACAAGAAACACCTTAAAACATGCATTATCTATCACATAATTTTCATAATAAAGTACAAATATAGTCAATATTAGTTGATGAGGACACAAATGTGTTATACAAACCATCCGGAGATAAAAAAAAAACTACTGATGTAAGTGTCGGTTCAATATGTTGAGTAACAAGACGAAATTTTGGCACTTTGATTTGTGATTCTGACATCTGATTTTGATTATAAAAAATACATATTTGAAATGTGTCGTTTTATGCTGGTAAACAAATGTGTTATGCAAACCATCTTTAGATATGTGTTTCAAAACTTCTAATTTATAGTGGCGTTTAAAGTTTGTTTATTTGTTTATTCACTAATTATTGCATTATACAATGACCATAAGCTGATTGTTTTTAACCGTGTTTTTTTTTAAATGCAAATGAGAGAGCTATTTTTATTATAGTCAAAGTTTAATGTGTACTGTATTTATTACAATTGTATTTTTTTTTATATCAAGACACGAAGACATTTTAAAAGACTTTATCAATCGATATGAAGGAGTTGAAGTCACAAATTAACTTAGTGTTGATCTGAGCAGACCAGAAAAAATTAACTATAGAAAAAGTTTGGTTCGATCGGAGATGCCAAGGGCAACGTTAATGAATGGCAGGATTGGTTTCGAAGATAACTTCGGTAGCGGACTTGTCTAAAGTTTACTCTTTCTACATTCATTAAAACAGTTCGGGGACTAAATCTATTTTTTAAGTTATTTTAATTTTGGTCCTATGACCGATTAGGCAGTCCTTAAATCAGTTGCAAGTTAACTTTGACCAGTGAAAATGACTAGTTATCAAGTTAAATTGCTGTACACATTAGTATTGCATACATCTATATGGTATAAGTGTGTCATATATGTTTTTAAGAATGACTAGAGAAATATAGTATTTACAGTAACTGTTCCACAAGTAATCGTACTGTCCTTTTAATATGTTCAATGACTACAATTAACATTTTTTTTATAGTTAAGTGAGCCAGACGCACTATTTGTTGGAAAAAAAACATTTTGTACTCAATAGTCACCCCGAAACAATTAAGGTGGTACATAACACTACAGGGAGATAACTCTGTAAAAATCAGCTAAACGTTTTAATCACGTTGTATTATAAAGGGAATATTAAGCTTTTCAATGATCAAAATCAGTGTTTGTCAAACTGCTATATATCCAATCAAATATTTCCGAGAAAATGTGTGGTTCAAAATTTTTGAAATTTTTATATTTTTGTCAAAGGGTCAAAGTAAGTATTTTGTAAAATTTTTATGAAAATTCAACGAGCCAAATGTATTTTAGTCAAGGTGTTAGGTACCACCTTAATAAGATAGGACAAATTCATTTTTTTTTAAACTGAGTTTTTAACAGGCCTGTTGTTTCTTTTTGGCATTTTGTTAGATACCAACATTCTTGGAAATGTATTTCCGTGGATATTTGATTTCTTTGTTTTACCAAACTTTGCATAATAATCTATAGGAATTCTGTAAATATGTATATTGTTGAATAAGTCAATTCTTGGTACACCTTTATCCAGAAAAACTACTAAAATTGATAATAATGAATCCCCAGACCTGCATTTCTAGAGATTTGAGATTTTTGAGATTTCTTTACTTTATTTAAGCTTTCAGAAATGAGATATGTACATACACTATTTATCAACAAATAAATATGAACAATAAAAATATTTACATTGATGGAATGTCACATAAATTATGATACACAGTGCTTTAATATAACATTCATTGAGTGCCACTTGTAAAGAAATTGTAGTCTGAAACAGTCATGTTGAACTTAACATTATTGAAATAGACAGATATTAAAGACGGTAATTCGTGTTATTAAATCATTACTGTATATATATTGTGTTTGCAGTAAATCCAGTACTGTTCAGTACCTTATCAGACAATTATGTTTGATGTTGTATTGTACAGGGAAATGCAGTTACCGAATATTATGAACATAAACTAAACAGATCTAGCGTAGCCGCAGTAATAGGTTTTGAAAATTAACGGAAAGACGGAACAAAACTTAAAAACGTATTGCTTGTCTTTTTATTGCTGTTAGAATCGAATGGCTAATTTTCTTCAAAATTGGTTAGCTAGTGTGAAATATACAAATCGTACACAGCAGTATCAATGGTATGTTCATGGTATTTGGAAAATAACACATTATTGATTCTGTGTGGTCGAAGTGCTTTTATGGAGATTTTAGACAGTATGAAAATAATAATATGTTGTATGATTACCAATAAGAAAACTCTGAACCAGAGATCAAAAGACATAAATATTTACAACTACAGGTCTCCGTTCGGCTTCAACAACGAGCAAAACCCATACTGTATAGTAAGCTATAAAAGGGTCCTAAATGAAACGAAATGTAAAACAATTCAAACGAGAAAACAAACGATTTATGTACAAAACAATAAGCAAAAAACAAATATGATATGCAGCATCACATGACAACCACTGACTTACAGGCTCCTGGCTTGGGACAGGTACATACAGAATGTGGCGGGGTTAAACATGTTTGCTGGCGCGAAACCTTCCTCTAGCCTTAGACAGCTGTTTAACAGTACGATTTAAGGACACAATATAACAATCAGTTGAAAAGGGCTTAACCCGTCAGATCGATACAAACCACATAAAAACCCTACCAAAACAAAAATGTCGCTAAGAACTTTGATTGAATCATGTCAGTACCGTACCACCAATTACTAAGTTAATCATACCCGCTTATTCTTACAGTCCAGCAGCAGTGGTGTCGACTAGTGCTAGGAAATAACACTTCATTAATTTCGTGAATGTTTTAAGTGTTTGGTAAAGGTTTCCAAAAACAACTTTACACACGTAAGCTAGCTAAATAAGAGTATTGCTTACACAGGCACACACTAATTTTTCATTAAACAAATAACTTTTTGATTTATATAAATATTTAAAGGGAGAACATTTGCCTTATCCTTTTGAGATAAGTAAATTTGAATTCATAGTGAAAAGTACCCAAAGTTCATTTTTTTTAGAAATTTACAATACCTTCTCATTCTATCAATTTTGTTAAGTGTTGTTTATATTCTAAAAAAACATTTGGAATTCCACAAATCTTCCAGCTTAATTCATACAAATTTAATTCAGAGTGTTTGTAGTTTCCTCTTTTTAACTGCACATTATTCGTTGCCAAAAGCCAACTGTTCTAGTATGTACAGGAATAATCAATGGAGTTCTACCTAAATCCTAGTAAATCATAATGTAGAATTATGTTTTTAACTTTTAAATTGTTTCTAAAAAGTCAAATAGAATGACTGAAAAATGTTACAAATTTCATAACCCAACACTTCTAAATTATATAATAAGATAGTTTCAACCGTTATGTCGCTTTCAATTTATTTTTCTAAAAACATTTTACAAGGCTTTTCTGACTTGCTTAATAATATGTGATTTAGCATCATTAACAGAAACTTTACTTGAAAACATTCATCGAATATAAGAGCTTATGATTTGTAACACCAGACGCGTTCTCGTCGTTAATAAAGACTCTGCAATGGCGCTCGAAACAAAACAGTTGGAAAGCAAAAGCATAATGCGAAGCTAAAAAAACAAAAGTTTTCATAAGTTGTGCCAAATACTACTAAGACAATATATTACTCAGGGTGAAAAAACATAATGTTTTGAAATAAATCTGCCAAGGTATTAGAAATTCATTACAATGTCTAGATTTTTGACATCATGCTTAAAATTGACACTGTTCGTGTCTAATCTTGATCAAGTAAATACATAGACTTTTGTTTTTTTTTTACATAAAATTGCAATTTCCAAGTTTCACAATATAAATGCAAGGCATGCAGTTAAGCCTGTAGATCTTGTGCTGGCTTAGCTAAAATAACATATAATTTCAAGCACAAATATATATATATATATATACAGTTACTTCATAAATGTCTAGTTAACAAATATCAGTATTCCTATCAACAAGACCATTACAAGCTCATGATACATATCATATAAATTTTTGCATTATTATACATAAATTTTATTATTTTTAACAGTTTACCATGTTTACGATCATCAGTACAGCTTAATATCTTTTTGTCATAAAAAAATTCTTCTGGAAGTGAAAGAAGCTTAACGACAAATAACAAAAGATTAATATACGGTGCAGTCCAGTGTATCCGCTCACCTAAAACTTTTAGTTTCACTTTGGAAATCTAATGAAACCAATAATCGGATAATATTATGTGAACAAATTCATGACATACTTTATTTTCACAAAATCTTCTTTTTATATGGTTTCACAGTTAAGATTTTATGTAATGAGTGTCCGAAATTAAACAGTTTTTCAAATGTCCGGTGATTTCGCGCATGCTTTCTAAAAAAAGCTATTTTTTAATACAGAAAAGATTTAATGCTACGATATATAGTTCAGTTTGAACCAAACAGACTGCCAAGGATTCAGAGCAAAACTTGTTCATTTTGATAAAAAATTGACCTAAAACATGTAAAATAAATTCAATTTAATCTGATGATGCAATTTTCGTTTATGGAAAATGGCTAAATATGGATTATCATTGGATTACAATTATAAATTTTTGCTTGAACTTTTATCTTTTTTTTGTCCCTATGGACGATTTAAACAATTACAAGAACTATTATGTTTGTGTTACATTGCGGATATGACAGAATCAGTAATGCGCAATATACTGGCCACGCAGATACAAGGGATTCCTCCATGCAGATATAAATCAATTTAACATTGAATATATAATCTGTCTTACTGTAAATATTTTCTAAACCCTGCTTAGTCTTCACATAATAAACCAGAATGTTTCAAATATTCATGGCATTTGCTATTTGAAATACAAGTAAAGCTAATACGAATGGTTATTTCACGGAAATTATCTACATCATTTTGATTACTTTTATATTTGTACAAAATTTCATAGGACAATTGAAAATAGTTCAATTTGGATTATCGCTCATTTTATAAAACAAACCCGTGAAGCAATTGAAATACACTATATTGGCGAGTAAAGTACAACTAATATGAAAAATCCGGACTCTATGAAGTTATTACTTTACTGCAAGTCTCGTTTTATAACGCAAATATCTAAAATGAATTGAGAATAAAAACGGGAAATGTTTTAAAGAGACAACAACCCAACAAAACAGCAGAAAACAGCCTAAGGCCACAAATGTATCGTGAAAGCAGCGAGAAAATCCCGCACCCGGATGTGGGCTTCTGCTGCACCCTGATTGATAAAAAGACGAACAAATATGTAACATGAAACTCAAAACGCTAAAAACTATAGATACACGAAAAGGTGTCCACTAACCAATTTCAAACTTTATATTTTTATTTGTAAATTAAACAGAATCGTTTTTAGTTAAATTTTTTTTCAGTCTTAATAATTTTCATAACAGTTTTCTTCACAATTATCATAAATGTCACATGAATCCAATTCCACCCCAGGTTTAGCAACATTCTTAGAATCGTAGTCTTTGATGTAGGCTGAATTATTGAAGGCTTGTGTTGGCTGGTCTGATTCTTGATATATGTACAACCCTTCCCTTAAAAAGAACACAAATATTATCAAAGAGTGTAACAGAAATTATGATAGCTACAGATGTTTTAGTATTATCATCCGAATGGAAACAAACATTGTAATTATTCGAAGTCATTCATTAAATCAAATCATAAACACTCAATTAAACGTGTTAGCGTTCAGTCTGTTTACAAGTACAGACATGTTGTTTGACATAAGTAAAGTTATAAATCAGAACTTATTTATAATGAAAACTCGAACCAAAAATATGTTTGCATTATCTTAGATACGTATTACATTTGGTTTCGGGGAGGGGAAGGGGGTCGATTTCAGTTTCCTAGCCATCAACTGCCATATTTAATTCAGAACCTTTATTAATGTGTTAATTATTCTTAAACTTATTACTAAATCATAATAGCAAAGAAACATAATATGTATATAAGAGTACCGAATAACTTGCTGACACTACATTTTGATTAATCAAGAGCGAATGTAAATGCAACTTACGTTTCTTCTTTAAAGCCCGTGTTGGCTTTTGTCGGCTGGTCTGATTCTTGGTATATGTACAACTCTTCCCTTAAACAAAAAACAATATTAAAGATTTGATAAATGCATCGGAAAGTATGCGAATACAGATGTTTCAGTATTATTATGAGAATTGAAATTAGTGACGACAAAAACAAAACATAATTATAACTATTTGAAGCTATTAAATCAATCATCTATACTGAAACAAGTGTTTACCTGTTCAGTTTGTTTACAATCACACATAAATGATTTGTTATCTGTCATTAATAAAGTCTGAAAAATGCCTTTAAAACAAACACAGCCAACTGCAAGTGTGTTTACTATACAAAATGGGAAGACCGCAATTGTAAATCGTGACCACTATTCCAAAAAAGTTAGCTTGGCTACAAATTACATTTGGAGGTGGTCGACTTTCGTTCCAAAGAAATCAACTAATGTATTGCACTCAGGACATTTACAAGATTTATCAATGTGTTAAATATTCGAAAACTATTCATTATAAAATATAGTAGATCATCACTGTAATAACTTTAATCTACCTATAACACTGTAGGACATTCCTGAATAATTTGCTGACACTACAGTATTAATGTAATATTATAGTGAATGTATCGCAATTCAGCTTGAAACTTTACAGATACGCGTAGGAAAAAGAAAATAAATCATTATTATTTGTAAAGTAAAAGTAACTTACTTTTCTTCTTTAAAGCGCGTATCTGCAACTTCTACAAAATTCACATAAAAATCGTATAAGATGTTGGTTTAAAAATCAATAACATTCAAATTCCATAGTCATCATCTGTTTGTACTCATATGTTAATCGTTTTTGTTTACGTATTTAAGTCGGAATAATTCTGTATATAGTATCATATTATCTCCGCATAAAACATGCCAAAGTACATTTTGAACCATAATCATGATGATAAGCAAAATAAGCAGGTTTATGAAAAGACTTAACCCCGCCACATTCTTTATGTGCCTGTCCCAAGTCAGGAGCCTGTAGTTCAGTGGATGTCGTTGGTTCATGTCTGTCGTATTTGTTTTTCGTAAATTGTTTTGTTATAAACATATGATAAATAAGGCCGTTAGTTTTCTCAATTGAATTGTTTCATATTTTTCATGTCGGTGCCTTTTATAGCCGACTATACGGTATGAGTTTTTTTTCATTGTTGAAGACCGTACCGTTGCCTATGATAGCTTAACTCCACTTTATTTGAACTTTTGTGAATAGTTGTCTCATTGGCAATCATACCACATCTCCTTATTTTCATATTAAAGCTCACGTGAAATTTATGTTATTTTAAGGCAATCAGAAGGTAAAGAACCCGTTTTCAATTTGGAAACAACTATGCTATTCCAGTTGTTCACTTGGTCTTGGCAAGAGTCACTTCATTTCTGTAATATTGACATTCGATACATGACGTAGTGTCAACCACACTTTTTTAAAGTAAAGAAAAACTAAATGACTTATTAGAGAACAGCGACTATGTTATCAGCTTGAATAAAGACTATTATGACAACACTAGTTTTATCTTTATGTTATAGATTGATATTTAGCGGGATAAAACATCTTAATAGTTCCATACACCTGTCAAATTTGTAATTAAAACCGGATAAACTTCATATCGTCATTATATACTCATATTTTGGTATTGCAAAATGTAATGCGATTTTCAAATTGTTAACAAAATTACGCTCCTCGGAGTTGCACTGATTCATACTTAAGTCTGCGAGAAAACGACGTATTTTTTAGTTGTTATTCGCCTTGAACTATCCTTCGGTATTATGGCTCTTGTCTATATATTAGATGTTTTAGCATGCTTCGTGTCGATCTGCTGAGTTCATCCTATTACAACTGAGTGTAGTAGTGCGTTCTTATATGGTGTTGTTACAACACTGTTCCAGAGTAGGGAAGAGTTGGGGACTCACAACCATGTTTAACCCGCCATATACTATATGTGCCTTCCAAAGTAAAAAGCCTGCAGTGGTTGTTGCTGGTTGCCGTCTGTCATATTTATTTTACGTTAATTGTTTTGTCATTAATCAGGTCGTTTTACTTTTTTGTTTGAATTGTGTCACATTTTTTCATACCGGGGCATTTTAAGCTGACTACACGATAAAGGTTTTGCTTACTATTTTCGGCAGTACCCTGACCTATAATTACACAAATCCACTTCAGTTGAACTTTGTTGAATGGTTGTATCATGGATAATCATACCACATCCCTTTATTTTATGAACAAAAAGCTATGTGTGTCCCTACATGTATTAGTAATGATATATTATTACATACTGCCTTGTAAGGAGGTACGAAAAATGAAAATGAACCTAATGAATGTATTATTTTTCAAATAAGCCGATAAATATAAGTGTACCTTTTTTCTGTATTTTCGTGCTTGCAAACACATGTTTACAGATCAAAACCAAAGCAACAGTAAGAACAATGCATCCCACAGCTTCTCCACCGACTATTAAAGCTAATATCATTTTCGTTTCTATACCTAATATAAACCAATAACATGCTAAAGGATTATACTTTGAGCTTTAGAATTGTGACAAACAAAGATTTTTAGTACATATACACGGTCACATCACACAAACTATTTATGTTTGTTATGATAGAGTACTAATCTCCAGCAGTTTTATTTAAAAATTATGTCGCTATGATATCATATTATCACATATACGTTTCAATTGTATAAAGAGATAATGCATTATATGGAACAAACTGTGAACAACCTACATACATTAGCCTATGCAGACATGTTAAACATGGTAAACCACGGAAGTAAAGTTATTTGGTGAAATAATGAATCGTGCATATAACATTGATTGAACATACATATCGAGATAAAGCCCCGGTCAAACCTTACCGGATAGCGTGAACGGACGCCGAACGGATAACTTTTTTTTTCAATCCATTCATGTCCGTTCTTATCCGTTAGACGTCCGTCCATATCCGTTTCATGTCCGTTCAGCGTCCGTTTTATCCGTCGATGTCCGTTCTGTCCGGAGGAAAATTTTGAGCATGTTCCAAAGTTTGAACGGACGTCCAACGGATGAAGTGTCCGTTGAACGTTTTGTATCCGTTACTTGTCCGTTATACATCCGTTGGAGGTCCGGTAGACTAATTCACCAATGGACTTCTACCGGACGTATAACGGATGTGAAACGGACATGAACGGTTGAGAAACGGACATGAACGGAAGGATTACGGATAAAACGGAAACGTTTCGAATATAAAACGAATAAATGCCAATTGAAAATTTCGCGTCAGAAATGCCAATTATTGGTATGTCAGATTTCTTGAGTGTCATGAATGTTTATTATTCATGATGGATCTTGGAGTAAGAGCACGTCTTCACTATCAAGCAGCTTTTATTCAGGCCAGACTGAACTTAAATGTTGCAAATATAAAACTACTAGCTGTCGAAAGGAGAAGAAGGAGAAGACAAAGGAGATGTGAATTACGTGTATCATTATGCCGCCTTTAATTTTCCGCTTATCTTGTTCATCCGTTTTATCCGGTACGCTTCCGTTAGGTGTCCGTTTTATGCAGTACTCGTCCGTTGGATGTACGTTCGACATCCGTTCTGTCCTGTACGTTTCCGTTTCTCGTACGTTGCATATCCTGTGTGTGTCCGTTAGGCATTCGTTACGCGTCCGTTTTATTTGGTCAGTACACAAACGGACTCCCAGCGGATAAAAAATTTGTCAGTGGAAAACTTTTTTGTCATCCGTTCGGCGTCCGTTCAAGCTATCCGGTAAGGTGTGACCACAGCTTAACGATCAGAAACAAATACCAAATAAACGCATAATTTACGTTAGAGTATAAAAGTAAACGTTTGCCTCCAGCGTGCCTAGTGAAGGTAATTGGAAAACATATTTTGTTTTCAGGAAAATCATACATAACTGTTAACACTTTTTTATATTTTAACCACATTACGTTTTAATTAAGCATTGTATTTGAATTTACCTGAACAAGAGAAGTTGTTGCACAGATTTGCTTCAACTGGAGTGCCATTGCAATACAGTCCACCATTAAATGGAGGCGGATCGTCACAATAACGTGATCTTTCCTTTAGCCCACCATTACAAAGTCTTGTGCAATCCGTCCAGTTTGTCCATGTTGACCAACAACCATCAATCACTGTAAGTCAATAATAAAAAATTAATTGAAAAATGATAACTTGTTTAATATTTGAATATGTTTTGAATGCAGTTCTTCGTGTTCTTTGTAACCTTTGTGTGTTTATTAAAACCTCCGGACTTTTGACATAAGTTAACTGTATTTCCGTATCAAGCATATCGCAAATACATAATGCCTTTGCTATGAGCGATGGGCAAATTATTAACATTTGATTATCTCCCGTTCAAAAGAAACGTCTCAACTAAAAATAATTCAATTTCCATTCTCAATCCATTATGTATTTGTCTGATGCACAAGTAAAGTATAACTAACAATGAAAGTCCCGAAGTCTTAAATACTAAACAAGGGACGTACTTAGATATCTTTTTGCGTCTTTGTCAGAAATATAATGTTTGTTAGATTTTTCATAAGTGTGTATACACAGTTTTTACTGTCGGAATCCATGTATCGTCACGATTACGATTACCAATTAGTCTATTTGGTTTATTCACCCAATTTGCCAAAGAACGGAACTACAAACAACTATCATACAAATGTAAGATTGAACTAGCTTATCAACCACGTTGAACCCACAATGTCTGCTGGAAAGGCCTTTACCAAGTCAAAAATTGACAGTTTTTTCCTATCTAAATCGATCTGTAGGTTGATATAGTTCAGTGTTAGATTTTAAATGAGTTTTCTCTAATTTAATTTGGATTTCGGTAATAAAATACGTTTTTACTTTAATAAAACAAGTAGCTGCAAATTAAGATACAAAAGGCAATAATTCATTTCATGATATTATCTTTATGATATTGCGAAAATCAAATCAATCTCGTGCCATGATATTTAAATTTAGTTTTAACTTGTGACAAAGAAAAACAATGATCAAACGTTAGAATACTAACAATCTACCCTATGACAGACTTTTTTGAAAATGAAATATATGCGGATTAAGGACGTCATTACACATATTACAAGCGCTTCAATAAGAAATATCTTGATTTTGGTCAGAAATGTCTTAATTTTCCCAATCAAAATCATATCAGTTTAAGTTCAGTTTCATGATTTTTCGAAAATTGTCAACCAATTTAGTCAGTTTAGTCTATTTTTCCTTTCATTCATTATTTGGCAAATGTAATTATCATTTCTATTAATCGAATATGATGTAACAAGGTCATTTGCAGAAACCACATCAAAATGCAACCCCCAGAGAGAAAAAAAATATATGACCAAAGCTACTAGGCTTATATTTTGTTACGCCAGATGCCCGTCTTTTCGACATCTGGTAATCATTGGCAATCGAACTTAAACAATGTGGAAGATTTAATCAAATACAAGGTTGATGAACACAACCAAAAACAAACATTTTGATAAGTTGTGCTAAATACGGATTATGCCATTTAACAGACGTAATGTTTCGAGTGATACAAAACTTCATCTACATGAAATCTTTAAAAATAAACGAACAAACGTACGACTGATAATTCAAATTAACAAACTATTCTTAACATCGTGTACATCTAAGTCTAAAAATAGAAAAATAAAGCCTATTTCTTGGTGTATAAAAAGGGAGAATAAAATATATACAAGGCAAACCCAGTTCCCCGTTAAAATTTAAATACCAAGATGTGTTCTAATAAATTCATAGACTTGTTTTGCTATCAAATGTTTTATACCTTTTTCACATTTTGCTGTATTGCATTGTTGAAATTCCGAGTTAGTTGTAGGGCAATTTAAACCTCCAAATGCTGGAACAGGCCTATCACACTTTCGTAATCTTAATTGCATTCCACCACCACAGGTTACATTACAAGATTTCCACATGGACCAATCACCCCAACTACCATCAACTTATTGATGAAATAAAAAACAGAGGAGCACATTCACTTACTTAGCATCTTACAGAATAATAATAAAAAAATAATGAAAAAAAACCCCATAAAAACTGTAATTTGTATACATCTTTTGCAGATTTGAATTCAACTGTAGTAGATTTCTGCTGCAAATAACAGCTACATATTGAAAATGCTATATTTGCTGTTCTTTTTATAAAATAATTTGTCTTCGGTCATTTCTAAATATTGATTATATAATCTCAACATGATTCTATAACGGCAGTTTTTTGCAGTTTCGTGCTTATACAAAGAGTATTTGAAACCTGGTTGGAAATAAAAGAAAAATCAAATTTAAACTTATCAAACGTATCAATGTCAAACTAACGCTTATGAACACCTGAGGGATATTATCTGGTTGATCTATAAATGTTTTTTATTTTCAAAATGAATGGTTATTTCAACGACCGTGTCATAACATATCCTATACAATCGCGGTATCTTTGATGAGTTTTTCCATCAACAATGCGACTAAGTGATGTTTTTCCCAGAGTAAATTACCAATCAAATCAGCAGTGTTCGTCTTAAGAGCTTGTCTCACAGAAAACCATGCAAAAGTGTCCAGGAGTGAATTTTGCGGAATCTCTTGAAATTTGGTACACACAACACTTAGGCCATGCCAATATCACTAGCAAAATATTTTGCTTAAATTTTATCGGATAGCAGAGTTTTACAGCGCCATCTATTTTCTCACTTTTTTTACGGGAAAATTTCCAAATTCAAGGTTTTTTTATGAATTTTAATCCAACAAATAAACAGTTCTAGCCATGATAAATATCTCTTTTGCCCAATGCATGTGATAAAGCATTATTAAGGAAATAAAATTATGTAAGTAATAAATATATATTTGATTTTTTTTAAGTAGGGCCTGTATATATTTATTAAACAGGTGTTTGAGGATTTGGCTATTTTACCAAATTTAGGACCTGAAGAAATGCTAATTCCCTACTGAAAATGTAAAGTGGGATTTCACTGAAAATACCAGTGGAGTTCCATCAGAGTTCCATTGGAATACCACTGTATTACCACTGGGAAATTTGGTCGGGATTTTCATTGGACATTCATTGTTTTCCATTGGGATATCAGTGGAATATCCAGTGGGATTCCGGTGAATACTCGAGTGGAATACAGTGGAAATTCCATTGGAATACCAGTGAAAACTTCGTTGGAATACCATTGTTTTCCCACTGGACATTTATTGTTTTCTACTGGGATACCAGTGGTAATTCCATTGGAAATTGTAACAATCAACCAAAGAAAACCAGTGATATTTCAATGGAAATTGACAATTCCACTGAAATGTTAGATATCATTTTGCATGCACTGCTTATTTTTGAATGAATTAATAAGAAAACTTGAAATAAGACAATAACCATTTTAATGCAAGTCAACTATTAAAGAAATTACAACAGTTTGACCTTTTAAACGAAAAGATCAACCTCTTTAAACATGTTAAAATATTAACCAGTGATCTGGAAGGATTTTTTCTCTATGGGCCCAGGGCCCCCAAAAATAAATTCAATGGGCCATTTTTAGAATTAATGGGCCATGTTGTCAAATGAGCGGGCCATTCGTTAACAATAAAAAAATAATAAAAAAGTGTATATTTCACTGTACTTACAAGTATGATTCTAATTAATATCATGGAAATTGTTCCTGTGATTTTGTTATTTCAATTTCAATGAATATACAATAACTTCTTCCAAACCGGGCAATATTTACGATAACCTTTATTTACAATGTTAAAACTGGTACTGTTCCCTTGTTCATGTTCATGTTTTTTTTACATTAAATTTGGGTCTTCGTCGATACCATACTTATTCCAGACGTTCCGTATTAGAGGACGTTACTGGCATTTCCCCTGCACTTGTATTATTATTACTTCATCACGATGACAAGAATAACAGTAGAGAGCAACGTTAATTGATAAGACACGACAACAATTCGCTGAAGGCATGTTTAATGTCAAAACGAGCCAAAGACCAAAAAAATTGACAAGGACAGTTAAGCCCCTTTTATGGAGACAAATACTATGCTATTCATAAAAAGGCTTTTGGATTTTTCAATCGAAATAATAGCAAGCTTACTTAAAAGATTATAATTAGAGAAGAATTCTTGACTGTACTAGCCAATTTTCACAAATTTAAAGTTGTTTATAAAAAAATGAATGATGGTTAATTACGTTTTTTGGGTAATCAGTCATACCGCATGTTGCTATTATTACCATAGGAAAACACCCGAGACGTCCCAAAAATATATAGGTGCTCCTATGATTGGAGTTGTGTACTCACACATGGCGGCACGAAATACGATCGGAAATCCATTTGACGATATCTCAACGTTTCAAAACGAAGTGAAAAATATCATGCGCCACACGGGCGCTTACATTTGTCACTCTATGCGCCATTTCTGGTCGATAAGTGCAATTGGCGCAAGGCGCACGTCCTTCCCGATCACTGATTAACGTTGATAAATTATCATTTTTTAGTCAAAGATGTATATACTTAATTGTACATGTAAATCATTTTTCTGGTTAAATCATTCATAAGTCCATGGTAACTTTTGGTCCTCTTGAAATCTTTCACAAATGGTTTTAATTTTCAATTTTACAAATTTGTTTATTGTGCATTAAACAAACAAAAATGTCCAGTTTACATGCATACGAAATACTTTGTCAGTTTGGTCAGTTTTCTTCATCATCCATTGATATTATTCATGAATTAAGTCCAAAGTTTCTGCATTCCAATCCTGTTCCATTAAGTCTTCATTGATTAATCTGAAAGAAAAAAAATACATCATAACATGCATAGAATTTTGAATTTCAAAATAACATTACAATACCATGCTCCAGTCTGCAATTATTCAAAAATATATGTTACTGGCATATTTTATTTGTGTTTGTGTGTAATTTATTCACAACATTTATACACTAAGAGCAATTTAGACACATGTATGTCTATTGTTGAAGACTATGTATTTTCTAGATATCTTTGGGCCTTTGGCTATAGTTGTTGGGTTGCTGTCTTTTAGACTTATAACACACATCTCTTTTTATCAAAATAGACTTTTATTGTTCATGGATCAGGTGTCTCTCAAAGCCAAATAAAATAGTATGTGTGGTTCCAGTTACATTTAAAAAAAAATTAGGGTAGGTAGGTAAGAATTTTTTTTATTTTATGTTTTTTTTTTACATTGAGTCTATCATGTCTATGGGAGCAACATTCTGACTTAAACAGTACTTACTGAAAAATGACAAAAAAATCTTTAGGGTAGGCTATTGTTAAGACTAAAAAAAAAAGGTAGGTAAGGTAATTGGAACCACGCATATATTTTTATTTAGCCTCATATTATCTTTCCCTTTGTGTTGTGTTTGTTGTTGGTTTACTATCTGGTTGAAGCATACCAGACACCTCATTTTGTTCACATAATAGCCATGATTAACCATTGTGCATGATGATCAGATCAATGTTTTTGAGATGTGTTTACAGCTTATAGATGTGAATGATTAACATGATTAATGTATTTTTATTTCAAGTGTGGGAAGGATGAAAAAATAATTCAATAAGTACCTTTCAATAATCTTATACTCAAATTTCTTTTCTGCTGCTGGTTCGTTTGTTTTCATCGTGTTTTCATATTATTGAGTGGATATTTCAAGATCGATGCACAGTCATCATTTTTGCAGCTTTGTACCTTCACCATGATCAATCCCTTTTAATATATGAACAACCTAAAAAAAAATGTAAAAACATTTTATTAATAATTTTTAATTCTGGTCATGACCTGTATGCATCATGTATTACTGATATTTATCATACAATGTACATATATAATTAAGAAGCTTCTTTCAGTTAAGTATAAAGACTCTAAAACACAATATTAACCTTTAGGGATTTTTTGTGTTGCATGTCCATCCAAATCAGAACATGACAAAATTAAGTTGAATGTGCCTGACATTGTGAAGGAAACTGTAAACATCTTTCCTTGATTGTGAAGGCACACAATGTAATTCAATATTGAACATGTTGAATAATAAAATTATTATTACATTCCCACCTCCCCCTTTTCAGAACACCAAATGGTCATCCTCAAAGTGTGAACTAACAGAGCCCATGAATGAAACTAAAGGGGGTGTATATCTTTTTTTTTAATTTTAATTAAAAATATTCATGATGTAAAAATCAAATGTAAAATCTCTTAAAAATTACATGTATCTGCTGTACATGAACGTCTGCCCTACATCAGCACATCGTCTCATCGTAAATTCTTGGTTCAACAGCTAATGTCATACCTAAATGTCCTGCCTTTAATGTCTATTTCTTTATTAATCGAAGGTTGTTGAGTATTAATTATTGTTAACATGATTAATGTAACCACAGCTGGACAATGCTGGACAGGATACATACTCGTACAATATTTTTAGTTTCAAATTTGAACACATTCCGTGTATTAATGATAACGACTATCTGATTGGCCGATCGGAAATCCCGGAAATAGAGTTATCCAATCAAATCAGCGGTTATATATATAGTCTGGTAGAAAAAATGGCAGCCTCCATGAATGTAAACTGTGTGTTGAAAAACAACATTATAGACTACAGTTTCACGAATTTTCTGCTCAAATTATGCCAAAACACTGACATTTAGCGTACAATTGATTGGAGCGGATTATATGTGAAATGTTACTATAGATTAACTTCTATGACCCGAGTTCCAGTGCCGAGTTCAGGACATGAAAATGATGAAAAATTCATCACACCGACAAAGTTAAGATACCGAAACAGTTTATAGAACAATGTGGAAAATGAAAGCCGTTCACTTTACTTTTCTCAAAAGAACAGTAGACCAGTAACAGTTAATGAACATGATGAAGTCAAAGGAGAAATAATTATATTATTGTATACATGTAGTGCAGGGCAGTTGCCAGTACGGTCACTTGAAGAAAAAAACGGAGTTATCCTAACAATTCGTACAGTCTGAAGATAATTTCTGCAACAGATCTGTTTAAAACGGCCCTTTTAAGAGCCATGCACATTTTTCAAAAAGAATCTTAATTGTTTTTGTTCGTTAAATCAAACAGAATCTTATTCTCAACCCAATTTGATATAAAATATTCATTTCTTTATTTATATTATCTGATTATTGCACATTTAATTTTATTTCTTAATAGTTAAAATGTATCCTTTCAATGTGTCATACTCATAGGCTATATGGTGATGCATTATATTCACCCTACATCTGAGGAGCTACCATTTTACTTATTTTATATATGGGGGGGGGGGGGGGGGGGTCTTTCAGACCAAATGATTTTTTTTATTTGTTACTAGGCAAGTGATTTCATATTACATTTAACCATGTAACATATGTTACAAATTAAATCCTTTATATAATAATCATGCACTTAATTATTTGAAAAATTTAAATTAGAAGTATATATATTCCTTTAAATTTCTAAGTCCAAAATTCCACTGGAATATTTGCATTAAATCAAAACTCCACTGAAATATAAACAATAATATTCCACTGGAAATTAATTGGAAAATCTTTGGAAGTTTCATTGGAAATTTCACTGATTTTCCATTGGAATTACAGTGTGAAAAATATTCCAGATGTTTTGGATGAAATTCTAATGGGATTCCATCGGAATATTTTTTTCCACTGAATACCAGTGTAATTTCACTGGAAATCCAGTGGAATCCCGTACTCATTTTCAGTAGGGTAAAATATAGAAAAGGTGAAGCTGTAATTAAAAGATGAATATATCAAAATGAACTACTATGATAGCTTAAAGAAATATAAAAAATCCACCCACGGCAAATATTTAGAAATATATTTATTATTTATCACTGTACGGCTATTTTTCATAGTATTTTTATAAAAAACTTCATGTAACAAAAACTTTTTCTTAACACAAAGTCACAAATTAGGGTGCAATTCTTATCAAAATGAGTGATTTTATACTTCGACTGCTGTTTCTTATTAATTCAAAGCAAAATCATAGTGAAAACGATAATCAAAGTACTAAAAGCTCTCATGGAAAGACGGTTAGATTCAAAATACATGCAATTAGCAATTTGAAACTGCTAATTGCATGTTTTGTCTTTAACCTGTTTCCTTGAGTATATCTGGCACCTGCTTTTATATGTACTTTAATAATCATAATGAAATATAAGGACAGAAATGTGCTGAATCCGCATATTTATTCAATTGTAATGTTGTTGGAAATTTTCCATGCTACTCATGAACATTAATTTGTGTGTAATTATGCCCGTTATTCAATATTTTGGTCCAATAGTACCTGATATGGAGGCTGTAAAATTAGAAAAACACAAATCCTAACATTAGTCAAAATGAAAAGAGCTTGGTTACATGTAGGTCAGGTTTGAAAAGGTGATGACAGAATATTTTTTTATCAATTTTTAACTAAAAAAAACAAATCAGAATCTTTTTTTTTCCAGTGTAAATTACACAAAATTTTAGCTTTTTTTGTTTGTTTTTATACAATAAGACACTGAATCCTTTACATTTCTTTTTAATAGCCCATAATGACATTCAAATGATTAATCATTATCATGATTATAGAATTTATAGTTCATAAAATCATTGATACCAGCTGACTTGGCAAAAACTGATCAACTTTCAATTTACAGCAAAAGTAGCAATATCTTTGTCTTTGTACTATTCTATGAATTGTCACTTCCATTCTGGCTTATAATTCTCATTGTATATTCACAAAAACAAGATCAACACATCTAATATCTACCATGATTAGCATAATTCTTATTTTGGGTAGGTTCTCTCTATCGTCACTTATTCACTTTCATTTTCAGAAACTAACTGTTTGGTGGTTGAGGTCTCTGATTTTTAGTATACAGAAAGTATGCATTGATTCTTTTAGTTTTTTAAGTTGTTAATCGGTTTCCTTTTTAACAAATTATCCAACTTGGGCAACTATTGCAGTTTATGTAATTTGGAGCTTCATTATAATCATTATTATCATGATTATGACGAAATACAATGATTACATAAAATATGGAATTTTTCCAGTTCTACACCAGCTTCACAGATACATGTATAAGTAGTTTTGGACTTGCAGTGTGAATCTTAATACTTTTCTCTTACTGCTATGTAGCCTTTCCAACTCCATTTTCTGAATATCTGCTGACATTTTATTCAGTATCCTACATAACTGCTAAGTTCAATATATCGACCATATCCACACATGAATATTTGCACTTTGAAGCCTGGAAATTCAGTCTTGTTCTATCCTATTAAACATGTACTATAATTTCTATCCTTTTGAAACATTTTGTACATGTTTTTTCAAGTATGAAATTTCTCCACAACTTCTATCATGATTTATGCAGATCAGGACATGCACAGAAAAAAATTAACATGTGCATCATGCTAAACGGTAAGTAGCTTTGACTGTTGAAATTTCATTCATAGGCGGCTTGTTTTCTTGTACATTGTACATATCAGTTATACTGCTCTAGCAATGAATAGCTTCGGAAGTATGTGCTCACTGAATAGCCTGGACGACCTGAAACATGAAAAAATTACATTGTTAGATATACAAATATAACCCTTTTGAACAGAAACCAAAATATGACAGAAAGAAACAACATCTTATATATATAATAAAAAACAATTTTAATACAATCGACAATAATGTTGGGTTGCTGTCCCATTGACATATAATCCACATCTCCTTTTACTCATGTGCATGATGTGGGCAAAAAACTGATGTAACTATACATGTACATGTATGTACATACTAATATGATAACTTTAAATTAGATTTTTAAATCCCAACCTTAAAAATACATGTATTCCAGCCCTGAGAACAATTTCGATTTCGCCTGCATGGTGAACATTGAAATGTAAACAGAATTGGTTAATTTAAATTTTAACTTACTTTTACTCATTTTTAAAATAACAAATTTCAATCATGACAATAATTATGAGAGTGAGAGAGTATAGTATCATGCATGGCAATACATAGTCCCCTACCGGTTAAAATTTCATTATACTGGAGCAAAATGCTATACTTAATCTATAACTTGGCATGGTGTATTGTAATAAATATCAAGTCAATATCTACAACCATGATAAAAAATGTGCGGAAACCTGAATATTTGAGTGAATTTATTAAGTCTATTGACCATAACTCTGGGCAAAATCATGGAACGGAACAAAATTTGAACTTGATCTGTAACTTGTTATGATGAAAATAGATATCAAATATCAAATCAATATTTTCAAGCACAAAGAAAAAAAGTGAGGTAAACTGATTTTCCGAACTGATGGAATGACAGACAGACAGATAGACGGAGTGCAAACCAAAAATTCAATGCGGAGGGGGCATTTAGTTTTACGCTTGTCCGTCCATACGTACGGACGTCCCAAAATTGGTTTCCGTTCTCTAACTTAAGTTTTCCTCAACCAAATGTTATCAAACTTATACACAATGCTAATTACCACAAAAAATAGATCAAGTTTGAATTTTGGTGGCGTCACTTGAACCGATCTAGAGTTATGCCCCTTTATAAATGGAAAAATTGCAAAATTTTTCATTTCCGTTCTCTAACTTAAGTTTGCCTCATCCAAATATTATGAAACTTATACACAATGCTTAGTAACACAATACACAGATCAAGTTTGAATTTTGGGGGCGTCACTTTTACTGTTCTCGGGTTATGCCCCTTTACAAATTTTTTTTCCAAAAATATCAATGTCATTATTCAAGTAATTTTTTTTTAAATTAGAGTTATCTTCCTTTGTCCATGATTATAGTTAAATCAACTACAATCAATGCTTTATACAATGTTTAATTTTGCCTTCCACTGATAAAACACAGATCAAGTTGAATTTGGGTAGTGTCACTTTAACCATTATTGAGTTATGCCCCTTTATAAATCGAAAAATTGCAAAATTTTCAGTTTCCATTCTGTAACTTAAGTTTGCCCCAACCAAACATTATGAAACCTATACACAATACTCATTACCACAAAACTAAGATCAAGTACAAATATTGTTTCCGTTCTCTTTTAGTTTGCCTCAACCAAATGTTATGAAACTTATACACAATGCTTATTACTGCATAATACAGATTAAGTACGAAATTCCGTGGCGTCACTTTTACCATTCTTGAGTTATGTCCGTTTATAAACATAAAAATTGCTGAATTTTTCGTTTCCATTCTCTAACTTTAGTTTGTCTCAACCAAATGTTATAAAACTTATACACAACTGTTCTAGAGTTATGCGTGTTTACAAATATAAAAATTGCTGAAATTTTCGTTTCTGTTCTCTACTTAAGTTAGCCTCAACCACATGTTATGAGACTTACACACAATGCTTATTACCACAAAACTCAGTTCAAATTTGGGTAGCGTCACTTTTACCGTTCTTCAGTTATGTCCCTTAGCTTTATAACTATATTATATGCAAGCGGGGGCATCATCTGTGTCCACATGTGGACACAATCCACATTTATGTTGTATAATGATCGAAAATTGTTTTAAACAAAAAGTGTAAATTTTGACAATTGAAAATGAGGGATTATTAGCAGATTGTTATAAAAATAATAAGGAGACGTGGTATGATTGCCAATGAGACAACTATCCACCAAAGTTCAAATGAAGTGCATGTATGTAAGCAATAAGAGGCAACCATTTGGCCTTCAACAATGAGAAAAACCCATACTCATACAGAATCACTGGTTATAAGTCCTGGACATGAAGAATGTCAACTGAGAAAACTAACAGCATATTTTCATATCAAAATAATATACGAAAAACCAATATTTATATATATGACAGACAAGAACCAACGACAACCACTGTTTCTGTTAAATTAATTCCCAGTTCATATGAAAGATAACGAAAAATTTAGAGCTTGACATAGATGATACATGTACTACACCTGTTATTGTAATCTGCATGTTGATAGATAATACATACGACATGTACGAAGGATATATATATCACCAATGATTTTAATTTGGGAAACTTTTGTCATTAGGTTGCTGACTTTATTAACCCTTTTATTTATTTTATGTATTTAATCATTTGTTATTGTAAACAACTTGAGCTCTTTTCACAAAAAATCTTGCAACATTATTGATCGAAAATTATACTGAAATGTAATGCCTAAAATTTGGTTTTGGTACATATGTCATGTATGTTTGCAATGTAAGAGACAAATGAACAGCTTTGCCATTAGCTCCTGTTGCTGTTACAAAAATAAAAGTTCAATAACTTCTCAATGCCATATCAGATGGACGGATGGACTTACAAAGTTATACCATAATAAGTCCCATAAACGGGCATATAAAAAAGTATTGCCTATTGGAAATATATGTAAATTTTTTGGGGCCCTTTATAGCTTGCTGTTCGGTGTGAGCCAATGCTCCGTGTTGAAGGCCGTACCTTGACCTATAATGGTTTACTTTTATAAATTGTAACTTGGATGGAGAGTTGTCTCATTGGCACTCATACCACATCTTCCTATATCTAGTAAATACATGTATTATTATATATCTTGCCAAAATTACATTCATGACATTAATATTTATGTACATGTATACATGATGGATATATGTATTTGTCACAAAAAAGTGACTGCAGGGACTTTCTATACTAACAAAGTATAGACTGTCCCTGGTGACTGTTACCCGGGAAATCCCCCCCCACCCCCACCCCCCCCGGAAAGATTTTCTTAATTGGGCTCGTCAGAGACTCTGGACTTGGAATCCTAAACTGTAAAAGGATTACAGCTGCGGTTAAATTTCCTTAGAACTATAGATATTGTATCACAGGCCCCATCCTGTAGCCAGGATTTTCCAAGGGGAGGTTACATTGACTCGCAATACAATCATAACAGAACATCGACTTACACAGTGCTTATTTGTTTTACGGGGGGGGGGGGGGGGGGGGGGGGGGGGGGCTTCATACTAACCCCTCGAATCCCCCCTGGCTATAATGGGTGTGTATTGGCAGACCCTTCTTTGGTGCTTAATATTATATATGCAGACAATGATTCATTTGTTATATTTACCTGCTGTAGTTTACATGCTGTATGTGTCTGTTCAGTTTTCTGTACGGAAGTCCTATACCTGCTTTTAACTTGACGTTCGTTGTGGTCATAATAGCAACAGCAAACTAAATTCCTTCTTCTCTTCACCTCAACATAATCTCTCTGTGTCAGCTCTACGTTTCTATTATATCTGACACTCAGTGACAGGACATTTTCGTGCAGAAGCTCTGAGCTGACAAAATGTGAGAATACTCAAGAATTTTCTCTTCATATTGCAATATTGACATCAATACAAAGTGTGATGTATCTTTATGCCACTCAAAGAGCTTAGGTAAGGTCCTACTAACACAAGAAGGCATAGTCAGTTAGTTGCTAGTGTCAGGGAGGTCTGCATATGAGCAGTTACCTTCTTTATAGTCTTATGGAGAACAATTTACAGGGAGATAACTCTTGATAACAATTATTTAGTGAAAGTTACAATATCTTATTTATTCAGATGTTATACATTTGCAAAGTATCTTATCTGAATAAAATCTTTGAAATGTTCAAAATTGAACATTTAAAATGATAATAACATCATATTTTGTTTGATATATACCCAAAATTAGTTTAGTAAAAAATGTGGGAAAAGGCTTGAGGTGGGTTTTTAGAGTTAAAAATAAGGCTATTTCTACTAATTTGCCATGGGTGGATTTTTTATATTTTTTTAATCCAATAAAAAGGTGTGTAAAGAAATTTATTTCATGTATTTATGTGCTCACCTTTTTGAAAACCAGTGACTTGAACTTGGCTAGTAAATGACATATACAAAATAAGGCATTAAAGAGAGCACCCTTAAGTGTGCCAAAAAATAGAAAATGCTTTATAAACGCATAATTTATGATCTTTCATATATATTTCCACAATATAAATGACTAGAAACCCAATAGAACTAATTTGATGACTTTTAAAGTACTTTCAACTAAACATATATTTGAAGGTTTTTTTTAGCTAATTTTATTCAATTATGCAAATTAGCTTGTTACTAAAAATAGACACAATTCAGAGAAGTCTAAAACATATTTTCTGGTTTCCATTGAACCTAAGATATCAAAAAACTTCATTAGCTGGAAAAGTTTTAACCACCCTCCTGGACGATTTTTCAAATTTTGCATGGTTTTCTGTGAGACAAGCTCTTAAATCGATCTGTTCAGAAAAGTTTTAAATCATTTGGTACACTATCGTTTGTTGAGACACTCGTATTGTTCAAATGTACCTGGACAAGAAATAACATTGCATTGTTTTGTCTGTGATGATTCTCCATTACAACATGTCCCTCCGTATTGAGGGGAAGGATTATTGCATCCACGTGATCTGGTCTGAAGTCCGCCGTTACAGCTGCTGCTACATGTCGTCCATTGTGCCCATCTGGACCATCCACCATTAACTTGTAATATTCAAACGATAAATGAAGATACGATTTAATAGAATTATTGTAAGTTGTGTGTGGAAATATTTTGGGAAATGTTTTATTAACCTCTATTGACCTTGATTGTTAAAGCGTTCAAAAGTTCTTTGTTCCTTCTAATGTACTAAATATAGAGATCGAAATAATGCTGCATGAATGTAGGCCTGCTTACTTCTACGTCATTTGGTGTTTGGTGGAAAGCTGTCTTATTGGCAATCATACCACATCTTCTTATATTCACATACTAGAAATATCGATATAAACATGACACAAGCAAGGGATTACCAAACCAATTTGGACAAAATGCAAGTATCAGCAGAACCGAAGACAATCATTAAGTGCACCCCACACTGGTAAAAATGTAACAAATATCATAAGAAATTGCATTTCAAATTCACAAAGGAACATTCCTATAACCTGACTCATTGGAGACCATTCTTTAATATTCGTCCTGAATACCACGTCACTAAGGAAGAAACAGCAAATTTCATTGTTTTGGGGTCTGGTTGGACCTTCTTGTACCCGTATATTATGAAGAGATTCACAGAACGCAAGTACCATATATAATAGATGATATACAGCATTGATAATAGTTTGAAACGAGTCAATTGATTATAAAATATCAAATGGAATATTGACGAGACGTCTTTCGTGATGTGATTGTCATTTAGCAACACTTTTATCACATATATAGCTGCTGGATCAGATGATAAACAGGTCAGTTAGCACGGACACATAATGACGATTATAAGAATGTTGCAATGTCAATTTACATTTCCACTTTATTTTTTCTTCTTATAAGAATAACATGTGTCTTGATCGAGAAGCAATACTAATAAGCACTATGGAACCCCTTAATGTAGCCGATCGTTCAATTCAGAACACGGAAATCGTGTTGAAGATTTAGAAAATTTCGTTTTAACTTCTGTAAGTGTATACGATAACAAGCTGCTGAGAATGAAGATTTTGTAACGAATAGAAATCATTGAACCATATGCACTGTACTAGAATTGAGACTAACTTCAAATTTAGTTTCTGACACTTGGCTACACCGTTTACAAACATAATGGGGATAGTTTCTTCTCACAAAATTAAATCGTGGTTTAGACATTATGCATATATACTCACATCTCAGCTTGATTTTCATTTTGTGGACAGTGACACTTATGTTAAGGTTACAATAAACTCAAAACAATAACTGGTACATGTACCTAGCAAACTACCTACTCAATCATTTTGATGAATTTTTATAGTCAGTTGTGTTTTTACAACGACATTACCTTCACCTAGCTCAGATTGTATCAAAATTATTGATAAACAGATTATGGCCGAGTGATCTAAGTAGTCCAACTACTGTATTACTAGCCAGTCAACACTAAGGTTGTGAATTCGAATCCCGCACGGGGCAGGTGCACTCGACTCCAATCTTAATTGACTATGATTGTCAATTTTCCTACCGAGTGTCGGTGGTTCTCTCAAGTCACTCCGGCTTCCCCCACCTATAAAATCGGACCACCACGAAATAGCACAAAAGTGTTGAAAGTGGCGTTAAACAACAATCAATCAATCAATGTTATTTATTACCAGGTTAATCAATTCACAAAGGTAGATTGGAACATGTTAATACATTCAGAGTAACAGAATGGCTCAGATTATAGGTTTTTCTGATGATCAAAGAGTGTTATATTCTCCTTTAATGTCCGGGGCAAATTGCTGATTTGTATTATCTAACGTCCAAGTCATTTTCTCGCGTTTTACCTTTAATGATATAATTCTTGTTTTTTTTTGCGGTTTAAAAGTATCAGAAAAAGGAGATGTAATCTTGCGAAAGAGATAACTATTAATCAAGAGCAAAGGAACAAGAATAAAGAAATATTAGATCAACATAGGGCCTTAAACAAGAACAAACTCATGTACGGTATGGTTAGGTAAAACATGCCACGTTATGACAAAAAGCAAAAGAGAAAACACACGCTCTTGTTCATATTATAACACCAAGGGAAAACAAATATGACAGACATCAACAAACGACTGCCTCTTAACTTCAGGTTCCTGGCTGGTCGCTCTTTTGCGTACCATTAGAAAGTGAGTTCATGAAACACTGTTTAGGTAGGAAGCAAATTATAAGGTTGTTAATTTCATAACCGTCTGGTATGTTGTCTAAGCTAACACAACATAAAATATCACTGATCCTTTTGGTGCTTTTGAAAGAAAATCAGAGGTCACTACATTTCAAATGACTTTATTCATCAATTTCTCTACCTGGACTATTATTGTTACTGCAAAGAATCCCAACATCTTCCCCATGATTACAGTTTTGTGTTCCCCAACCTGCATGTGAACAGTACTTTAATTTACTTTCACTTCCCGTGCACCCCATGTCGTCAAGCCATATCTTGCCGCTGCCGTCATCTACTGCATTTCCTAATGAAATTCCATTGCTATTAAATATATATAACATTGATGTAAAATGTAAACGGTATACATGTTATGATCTAGCTTAACTTTTTAGAAGAAGAAGAAGTACAAAAAGTCTTTCCAAGTCAAAGATGATACGAATCTTACCATATGATGTTTTTAAGTTTACCACGTCAGCAAAACTGTCAGTGCAAGTTTATGTTTCGTACTCTTTACTGTTCAATAGGATGTTAAATTAAAATGATTTAATAACATATATTGTCAGTTTTACGATTAGCGTCAAAAGCAAAAACGTCGTGCAATCAAAGTTGACCTTTTCAGGATATTTCCTATAACTTGTTAATTTTGTATGTTTATTCCGATGACATTAAAGCTTAAAATTTATTCAATATCATTTGTAGGACAATGTAGAAAATTGACGATGGCTTTTCCTAACAAAAGCGGAAAAAGGTAAATAAGAGAAACAGTATACAAATTTTTAAGAACACTTATACAGAATGGAATGAATGCATTCTTTTACCCTTTACACATCCTTCTTGCGTTCACATGTTCTAATAAAATCACCCTTTTTAAGGATAGATGAACATGATGGACACAGCCATATTCAATTTTGAATTTTTGTAAACTTGAACAATGAAGCCGACTACGTATCTTCTTCGAAATATTAAGTACATTTTCCCTTGACAATTTACGTGAATCGATATGAAATATGATTATCCTGTTTTAAACCAATATTCCTTTCGTTTTACACGAATGATATGTTTAATATAACCGTTGATCATGTGCTCAACTACTAGAATAAGTCGGAAGTAAGAACATTAACTAATATAGAATTTATTTGACATATGAAAACATTGGTGGATTTTTTAAAGTGCAGTATTTATATACCTAAATCCAAGTTGTCGACAGACTACTCTTGCATCGTTGTCATCAAACCCATCATCACAAACTGTACCCCATACACCATTATAGTAAATTTCAAGCCTTTTTGAATTGTCCAACCTTACATCACCTGAAGCACATATAACTGCAATCAATCGTCTTTGTTAATCGAATGCATCTAACTTCATGTCCGTTAAAACTTGCTGTAGGGGTCTCTTGTTTATTTTTGCATTTAAACCTCTTCAAAATCGAAGATGATTAGTCATATGATGCAGTAAGACTGGTTTTCCAGTCAAATTGGTATGCAGGTTAACATTTCACTATCAATTTTATGATAATTGAAAAAACAATGCTGGTTGTTATTTATAATTTTTTTTCTTTTAAACCTAGATGTCTTAACAAATGATATGTTAGCACCATTCAATGGATACTAATGTTTGAAGGCAGTGTCGGAAAACGCTTTGTATTGAACAATGCACACTAAACGAATAATCAATGAAGGATAACAACGATAAAATCGAAATCTTTGAAACCAAACAATATTCAAGTATGTGACTAACATTATGCCCCTTTTATATACGCGGATTTGTTGACTAGTCTTTACGGACCAAGAATTTATAGTCAATCACAAGCATCCGTATATTACTCGCTAAAATTCGCAAATAACTTGTCACAACTCGGAACACTCGTAATGATCCGTGAAAGGCGATTTTTTTCCTCAAATGTCTTAATTTTCTTGTCCCCGAATTGATTCATCCCCAAAAAAACTCGATCCAATCCGTAAGCATCGTAAGCTACTCGTAAACCGCTCGCAACATCACTTGTCACTCCGTAAACTGCTTGCATGTATCGGTTAATGACGCGTTAATCTTTTGTTACGATTTGTGACGGTTAGTGTATGATTTGTTAACGGATTATAATCGGATTATTACGAGTGCTTACATGTACGTGTTGATTTAAATTTCAATCGGGTCGTGTTACGTTGGCGTTACGGATTGTAACGAGTTATTACGGGAACTTTACGTGTTGCCTCAAGAACTCGTTAAGAACTCTGAATAGAATTCTTTACATATTTTTACGTATTGTTTACGATTTTGAGAAATATTTAAAAGCTGCAAAATTGTAAATATCCGTAACAAAGTCATAACAATTTGTAACAAAACTTTCCGTAGAATTATCGTAACAATCCATTAAAAACGCGTTAATTGCCCTAACATGTTTGTAGCTATTCATGCCAATTCTTTACAAAACGTGGCAATTTGCCGTACATACAGCGTTATAAATCGTTTAGAGATAAATTATTCAATAACTCGAAACAACTATTAAATCTGTATTAAAAGTAAAAGTGGCCAAATCGTAGGTATCGGTAAATTTGTGCGATGAGTAAGAACTCGTAAGAAAAAATCGTGTATTTGAAGACGGCGTCAGTGATATCAAACTACAAATCTTACCCGAACTCTGTGCTTGAATCAAATGTGCTAAAATAACGCTAGATATTATTAAATAAAATACCATTGTCCTGCAAAAGAAAAATGAAAAACAGAAGCATATCAAGAACATTCTTCTAATTATAATTTTAATTAAAAACACACATCGTTTGAGATTTAACATAATTTAAGAAGACAAAACAAATTCACTTTTTAAAATAATATAATCTTTGACTTAAATTTTAGTGAATTCGTATTTTTTTTTTAAATCATATAATTTGGATCGAAAAAAGAAGCAAGTTAGAGTTAAATCATCGATGGTCGCCAAATGATAATATACACAGTGTATTTACCTTAACAAGCAATGCTGCGTAGGCATATCAGGAAAGCATATAAGACACTAAAGTGTAACTCTAAAACAGACTGAAAGGTTTAGTCAACTGGCCTGAAAAAGTATGGCGTACGGAAAGGGTCAAAAGTAATTTATTTTGCCTATGCTACATTTAATACAGCATATGCTATATAAACTACAGCTTAAGCTATAATGTATGTACCCTATGCTGTTATTAATGTCGCTTAGGCTATAATATATAGCATATGCTATAATTTATACAGCATATGCTATAATTAATACAGTCTATGCTATATTAAATGCAGTCTATGCTGTAATAAATAGCATATGCAGCTTAAGCGCCCAGTTGACGTACCATAAGGGTCAAAAGAAAATACAGATTACGCTATAATTGTTGAAACATGTACATTATTTACATTTAAGTTATAACAGTCCCGAAAGGGTCAAAAGTAAATGTAGCATACGCTGTATTGTGCCATATGATTATAAGGTGGGGTTACTGTCAATCACAAATGATTCTATTATACATTTACTGTCAATCACTCTTCAACTTTGAAGGCTATTCACAAATTAGGATAACGCCCATCAGAACCACATTTTGTTTAGGATGGGTGAAAATTAAAGAGCATTATGATTTAAATAATGGATAGTCGAGTTCAGAGAGTTAATGAAATATATTTACATGAAATTATATCATGCTTATCTTAGAATTTTATTTAAGGTAGCACAATACAAAAGCAACTAAATCTTATCAAAATTTAATTCTCATCTGATTTTGTTACTTCTTTTAACAATTAATGTTGCTGATGGTTATACTAGAATTTCTTGAGGATAATGTAATAAATATGAATTCTTATTAAAAGAAATAAATATTTCATTTTCAAACTGCAAAAATAAAAAATAATGTACTTGGAGTAAAACACCATATTGTCATTGTATACAATATATATTTCTAGAAATCCCCCATAAAGATCATCTAAACTGACCAACTGATCATTTTATGTAAACATGCATAACTTACTTTTTGTAACAAAAATGAATGCAAAAAAACAAAATATATTATTTTTTTTTTGTACTAAGAGGAATAAAATCAATATTGAAAATGCAATGTGTAATTAAACTTCTTATATTATTTATTGTAACTGTTTATCATAACAAGCGGAGTTTTGACCATATCAGTAGCAACCGTGACTTACAGCAAGGTCAGTGATGATATAACATCTCCCGCCAGATGTATATTGATGCGTAGGTGTGTGCATTTTCTTTGTATATTTAGAATTGCTGAAATGAAATGCTTTCTTACTGGTCAAAAGCTAACTGATTTATGATAAAAGGCCAATCCTGAAGTATCCAAATGGTACATGTGTGAATTATATTGAAGTAAATGGGGTACAAGTAGGAAAATTCTTATTTATTCAATTTTGACACATTCATTTTTGACATTAAAATGTAGTTTTAAATGAAATTAGCTACAGTACTGGAAGTGTGCCCCTATATGCCTGATTTTCACACATGTTGTTCCTTGAACAATTATCTTCAACATATAGTCTCAGATCCAAAAAGCATCAATAGAACAAATGTTATACCCAATTAAATTTAGTGATCTCTTATAAACTGAGGTTGACATCTTCATTGAAGGTTTATGAGAGAATGAAATGCAATAGGGAAAATCCGAGACATGGTTTCGGAGTTCAAACTGTGTTGTACAAGAATCTTTAAAATATTTTGGGATGGAATGAAAAACAAAGAAGCTTATTTCATTCAAGTGTGGACATCACAATATAGCAACTAATTATGTAATAATTATGTCATAATGAAATTCTTATCATTTTAAATACACAGAATTTTGAAATCGGGTTATTTGCAATCGATTCCTAAATTTATTTGAAAGAAGTAAAACCATAAAAAAATAGTTCGACATATAGACTGATATGGCACTTTAATCTTTCTTCTTTCTTTTGGTACCCTATAAAATTTAAAGCTGGATGAAAGAGATTACATCCGTTTAAAGTTGTCTGATTAGGGGTAAAATAATCTTCGTATTGTGCTACCGAGAGAAAGAATAGTGTAGACAATGATACCGAATCCCTCAACATTTCAGGCAAACAACCAAGATAAAGGTACGGGTACGAAAAACAATGCCTTTAAACGTCTTAAAGTCGCTGTGAGACTTGACAAAATTAGTAAAAATCACACCATACAGCAAGCACTAGTTATAAATTGTCTATTGTATGATGAAAAATACAAGAATGAGGTTGATGTACTATTCATTTTATGCTGAATTCAATCATCAGAATTTATATGTTTACATGTCTGTTTTATAGCATAGATTAGCGAAATGTGTGTTCGTTATAAGTTTTACTATAGTACGCACGTAGTCTATTCGACTACATGTATATAAGAATTTTCAAGAAACGATGAAATATTAAACTGTTCGAAGTCATGTATTAATTACTAAATATAAATTAAAATAATTGAAACAAAAAAGAAAAACAAGTTTTATGAACACATCCACTTTGTATCCTTACAATCTAAATACAAATAATAGAAGGAACACGTAGCAATTTCCGTAAAGTGACATACGTGTTTTCTTATTTCGCTAAAATGGGATGTATACTGTCCATTTTTTTCGCAGGTTACCGATTTGCTAATATGTCCCAAAAAGTTTAGCCAGTCTTTATTTCACAGTCAATATATATACAGCCCCTGCCGGGGAGGAAGTAAATAATCAAATCTAACTCTAACATTGGTTGATATTCTAGGCACTTTTTAAATTTTTCTAAAGCCTGGATTTCTTACTCATAAGAAATCCGATAGACAAGGTGTTATTTACAGTTCTCACTTTATGGGCAGACAACAAGTTTGCATATTATAGTTTTGACACTTCAATATTATGCAAATACCCAGCTAGATTGAATGTCAAGTTGTATCGAAAAATATGGCATTACAAATGAACAATACGTTTTATAAAAATATATACAAATTTGGTATTTTTAATAGTATGTAACGTAAAGGAGACATATATTTTTGTAATTGCCAAAGAATTCGTGTTCGATATTCAAAGTTTGTATTTGTCAGCATTTTCGAAGGAATTATGGTGACCAGATTCACCTGTAAAGAATAAACATTATCTTCCGATGTTCAGACAGTTTTAAATCGATACAAATTGACCATGATAATTGGTAAACTGATTTTCAACATTCCTCAGTTCTCTCTTGACTGTTGTAAAGCAGGAAAGAAATGTGAAATAGAACAACAAGATGGTAGCACAGTGGTAACATCGATTCATCAAACTGGATGTAGCTGTATATTGTCACTGCCATAAAAATGTTATGCCATAGTAAGACATGCTTACGGTGACCTATAGTTAGTTGTTAATTTCTGTGTCATTTTGGTCTCTTTTGGAGAGTTGTCTCATTGGCAATCATACCACATCTTCTTTTTTTTATAATTATAATGTCAAATTGATTATCAACAGAAAATGAATACATGCATCAGGGCCAAGCAGGCAGAAAAGATGCAGATTACCGACATCGGACTACTCTATTAAATGTATGTCCCTACTTTTCCGTTTGTCTATTATACCTGTTTTTCCCTTTATTTTTTTCTCATGACCCTGTAACTAAGGCAACTGGTAATCTTAAGAAGTGGTATGAGTGCCAATGAGATAACTCTCCATCCAAGTCACAATTTGTAAATTTAAACCATTATATGTCAAAGTACGGCCTTCAACACGTAGCCTTGGCTCACACCAAACATCAAGCTATAAAGGGTCCTAAAAAGGACTAGCGTAAACTCATTCAAACAGGAAAACCAACGGTCTAATCCTTATAAAAAAGAAACTAGAAACACTTATGAACCTCATCAACAAGCGACAACCACTGAACATTAGGTTCCTGACTGTGCCATTATTTTTGGTGTAATTCAAACACTAGTTGGTTACAATATTGACATCTTCAAAAAACTTTGAATAAAAAATCAGACAATGAAAGAAAGTTGGAAGTTGTAAGCATTTTGAAACTTAAGGCGATTATGACCATTTTGATTCATGATGAAATTGTGTACATTATTCTCAACGATATTCCTAAACACTTAGAAGTAACTCTTTCTTCTGATGCAAAAAGGAACGAACATGTTGAAAATATATACAAATATATATCGAAACACTTGGCCAGATTTATTGTGAAAGTTAAAGTTTGAAATGAATATACAAAATCTTGAAATATTAACTGATAATCTTGCTTATGTGACTCAAGGAAGTACCGCTGGACCTTAGTTATGAAGAAAACTGCAACATTTAAAAAAATGTCTATAATTATATTTATCAGAGGGTCTAAAAGATACCTTATTGTCTAACTTTGAACATTACTATACTATGCTGTATACATCATCATACTCCGTGACGGTATCCATATACTTCACTCACGTTTTTTCGTCTGTTTTTGTAGCTTTTTCTTCATCCTGTGTGCTTCTTTTTCTAGTTATGCTTTAAATCTATCTCCTCGAAATTATCTTTTGTACAACATTAGTGCATATATATTTTATATGTAAACTAAATTGTAGTATTGTTTCCAGGAGAAGACTTCCGAAGTTCGAAAAACGTGCGTCTTAACCGTTTTGACTCTTTGAGCAAATAAAAAAATTATAAACTATAAATTCCAACAAAATGTACATGGAAGATACTTGATTTCATAATTGACAGCATATTGTTGATTTTGGGTTCTGTGTTTGAACAAACAT